AGTCCACACGAAGGTATTGGAACCGTGGAACTCTTTTCGATATGCCTTATTCGGAGAATCTTATGATATGGTGATGAGGTTGTTTTTAAACGAACATTATGAAGGTTACATTTACGCTATGGAATGTACCTAACTATTTCTCGTTACATAAAAACTGTAATTCTGAACGTCTTAACAGGTACAACACATTGTCAAACGTCTCTTCACTGTTTGTGTTACTACAACCGTGTATATGGTAAGGGGCGCCCAGCGGGAAGGGGCGCTTCAATATCGTTTGCACCCCTATCCTAGAATACCTTCCGCCGCCACTGGTAGCCATCCTACAATTGAGACAATTTTAGTGGGCCGATCGATACTAAATGCCACCACTCGACTGGCCGTACATGTAGGTACGCAATTTTATCGGCCGACGCCCATATAGAAGATGGCGACCTGAGATTACCTCAGTGACCCTAACAGGTCAGCTTGTTGGTCTGCGCAGCCATCCTACGTCAGCACTAGCAGCTAGATATCCAGCTGCTGGGCGGATCCGAGACGAAAATGCCACCAGTCGATTCACCGATATGCGATATCTAAACATATAATGACCCCAGATTTCAGGTGACCTCGGTCACCTTGAGAGGTCATCTGGATGTTTTTAGCAGTTGCTAAGTAAAAAAAAATGTCCGCCATAGGCACTTTATTTGAAATGGGTGATAAAATTAAAATCGGTGAATCGACTAACGACTTTTGAGCTTGACGTTTTCGTTTCGATCATCCCAGCGGTTTCTGAGTTAGGTATAGGATTGCTTCAATGAGCAAAAAGGACATCTTTCAAGATCGCCTGGAGTCACCGTTCTATACCTAACTCGGCAGTAGCCAACTATAGTTGGCTACTGCCGAGTTAGGTATAGAACGGTAACGGAAGGAGGCTCGATGGTGCTATAGCACCATCGAGCCTCCTCCTCTTCTCATGGTGGGTTAGTGCGCGTAGCCGTCAGGCATTGAGTCGAAAGTGCAGCACCAGTCGATCCGCGTAGGCGATCTCATTAGCCGTTTGAGTGTGATGACCTCAGCTGACCTCTGTGACCTTGAGAGGTCAGCTGAGCGTTTATGGCATGGCAAACTCTTCAGACTGACATGATAAGGCCAATGAGGTCACCAGAGGTCACCAATCACCATATTCGAAACTACTAATGAAATCGCATACGACGAATGGACTGGTATTGTCTTCGTCTCGATCGCCCTGTATTTAGGGCCTTGGATCGCCCCATCAATTCCGGTATTAAAGAATGGCTGCAGCAGTGCCGCAATAGGTGAGAACGCTCATGTGACCTGCCAAGTGCCAAGGCCACAGAGGTCATCCGAGGTGAGGTCACTTTATTCGAAACGGTTGATGAATTCGCATACATAGGTAAGTGCATACGCTAAACCGACTGGCCGTGTCGGTATTTTTCATCTCAGTCGGCCCAGTAGTTTCTTACTTCTGAGTTATTCATAGAATGGCTGCCATTGGCTAGGACACTCAGCTGACCTCCCAAGGTCACAGAGGTCATGCGAGGTCATCATATTCAAAACGGCTGATTAAATCTTGCGACTTGCAGCGATGCGACTGGTGATGTTTTCATCTCGATCAGGCTGGTAGTTGCTGACTTATATAATGGAATCCGAATGGCTGCAGTAAGCGAAATCGTCAGGTTGACCTTTTAAGACCACTGAGGTCACCTGAGGACCGCTGTCCCAGTAAACATGCCGACGTCGGCCCGACGTCGGCCGACGTCGGGGTGACGTCGGCATCTCGGCATAGACATGCCGACGTCGGCCCGACGTCGGTCCAACCTCGGCACGACGTCGGCTGGATGTCGGATATACCCGCATGTACCGACGTCCAGCCGAGGTCCAGCCGACGTCGGGCCGACGTCGGACCGAGATCAATTGCTGAGGTCCAGCCGACGACGGGCCGACGTCGGGGCGACGTCGGACCGACATCGGCCGCTGTTTTGACCGTTAAAATAATATAAAATATATGTTTCATGTTTCATAAAGAGCTTCTGTATTCAAAATATCCTCAGGAAACTCAAATCTTCCTCCACGCCGCAACCCCCTGATCCGGACTGGACCGGAAACTTTATCCCATTTGGGATTGCCCGTAAGCCGAGCTCGCCCGTAGCCGGGTGCGGCGAGTGCTTTTGGGGGCTGCTCGGCCTATCCTTTGGTCAGGCTCAGCCCCGGCAACTCACCAGGGCCGGGTCCAGTTCATATAGAAAGGCCAGTCGGCAAGTGTCACTTTGCCAAAGTGCCACTTATCAAAGGGACACTTTGGGAAACGTTGGTGCAGGTGTGTAAGAGTGGCTATATGAATCCATTGTGGGGTCGCCCTTTCCAATAAGTGTCACGTAACAGCAATGGGACCAGGGACTCTATATGAACTAGAGTCTGGACCCAGGGTGCTCGCCAAGAAGACCAATATCTCCATCCTATCATCCTTCCGGCTCTGAAATGGTCTTGTCAGACCGAAAGGGCATAACCCAATAAAACAAACTTAATACGCCAGCTGGGTGCGTGGTGACGGTGTAGTTGTTAGCGCATTAACCTCGCGTTCAAATGACATGGGGTTCGAATCCCATCGCCGGCTGATGCTTTTGGCGTGTTGTCCCAGTAAACATGCCGACGTCGGCGACTGGGGGGCTCGAATCCCGCCGCCGGTTGATATTTTTGGCGCGTTGTCCCAATAAACATGCCCACGTCGGCCCCGTCGGTCCAACGACAAACGATCTCGTCAACCTCGGCAAACGACCTCGGCCCGACGTCGGCTCGACGTCGGCTGGACTTCGTCTGGACGTCGGAACATGCGGGCATATCCGACGTCCAGCCGATGTCGGGCCGAGGTTGAACCGACGTTGGGCCGACGTCGGCATGTTTGCTGGGGTGTTTGAAATGTGAAAACGGTTCATGAAAATAAAAATCACATACGGTGTCAACAACAAATGTTTTCGTCTCGATCCGGACTAGAAGTTCCTGTGCTGAAGAATGGCTGTAATGGGCGAAAACGCTTAGTTGACCTCCCAAGGTCACAAAAGTCGCCTGAGGTCACCATATTCGAGACGGCAAATAAAACCGCATGTGGCAAATCGACTGTCGTGTTATTGGGCCTGTTCCAGCGCCTCCAGAAACCTCCAGAAAGCTCCAGAAAGCTCTAGAATCCTCCAGAGAGCGTTCCAGCGCCTCCAGAAAGCTCCAGAAAGCTCTCGCCACAGCTCCAGAAACCTCCAGTAGCCTCCAGAGAGTTGAGAGGTCCAAATTTCTCTGGAGGCTCTGGTCTACAATTATGGCGCACATGTGACAATCACGAATGTAAACAAAGGACATTTGACTGATTATTTTACAACTTGAATGTAAAGAAAATTACATTGCTATAATTTTGTTTATCTTTTTAACTAAAATTGAAAACAAATTTTGCGTTTCAAGAGAGGACAATCGTCATTCTTTTGGTATCATAGGCGGCGGAACGGGGAGGGCACCGGGGGACCGTGCCCCCCTTTGATTTTGGCATTTTAACATTAGCCCTATGGGCGTTGCATGGAAAGAATGGGACCTAAAGTCGGCAGTGCCCCCCTTTAACCCTCGCCGGACCTATTGGTTTTCTACATACGCGCCGGCCGAGGGGGGGGGGGGGGGGGGCGGGTACGACCCCCCCTCGCCGTTTCGCCCCTGGTGGAGCTAGCGCGTCGCGGAAAAAACGAGCGTGTGCGCCGTTACGAGACGCAGAGATTGGTACCCGATTTTAAGGTCCTATGTCAACCGGTGACCTCTGAGGTCAGGTCAAGTGCCCCAAGGTACGGTTCAGTTTTTGGTGAATAACTTCGCAAAAAACGGCCGCAGAGCGCCGATTTTGGCAGCATCGTGTTCGTCTCGCTCAGGCGCGTCGAATGATATACTTTTTGTCCGGGTCAGGTCAACTTGGGGTGTTGACCTCAGGTCAAGGTCAGGTCAGCACCCCCAGGTCACGAAGTTGGTCGAAAGGGGTCATGTCGCATATCATTCGATTCGGCAGGTCTTCCTGAGTCCATTGGTGGCTTTCCCGACTCGCTAGCTCAATTTGATCGGGAGTTATTGACGAAAAACTAATATGACCTTGATGACGTCATAAATGACGTCACGCAAGGTCAACATTGCAAAAGTGACGCATCTAACCTAGCAAGGAGTGCATCAAATCACGATTCTGTGTGCTTGAGATAGTTGGAGATCGTTCCCGGCGCCAGAATAGCAGTTTTCATTTTTCCCCATTGACTTATAATGGTGAGGTCACGAAAATGACCTGACCTCATATGACCTTTAGGAAAAATCCGAGATATACAAGTTGTGGGACTCATAATGGATACTAGATCCTGCAAGTTTCATTTCCCTGTGACATCTCCTCTGGCAGTGAGGGCGTTGCGAAGTTGCGACATCTGAAGACCAAGCAGAGGTTCACTTATGACGTCATAGGTCAGTGACCTGACCTGACCCAAAAATGCGGTTGGTGTCAAAAGATGCGGCTTGGATCAAAGGTCAGGTATGCCAAGTTTCAGCTCTCTATCGCCAGCGTGTTCGGAGCTATCGCGAAAAAACCCTATGGGGGGGGGGGCGGCACCCGCCCCCCCCCCTCGGCCGGCGAGGGTTAAATGAAGGTGTTCCGCCGCTACTGTTTGGTATCTATGACGCCAATCTCCAGAAATCTCCAGATTGCGTTCCAGCGCCTCCAGTAAAACCTCTGGTAGAGCCTCCAGTCAAGAATTTCTTCTGGAGGCGCTGGAACAGGCCTTTGTCTCGATCAGCTTAGTAGGTAAGTTGACGTTTTGAGGTAACCGAGGTCACTTGAGTTCATCATATTTAAAACCGCTAATTAAATGGTCTTTTTTGATTCGGATAGTTTTACTTTGTCTAATCAGCTCAGTGGTTTCTGAGTTACGGAATAGCTGTAAGGATAGCAGTTGATTAGTGTTGTCAACGAACGGGACAATGAGAAATGTAGGCAGTGCTGGCGCACATGCTACATATCCGAATTAGACTTTTTTATTTATCTATTTATATGCACTTTTTCAAAGCGTCCCAAAACTGAAGATATAAAAAAGGGGAAGCGCAGGTAAGTTTCGTTGACGGTGATTCTGGTGGATGCTGCTGAATGTCAAATCATCCCCATCTTAATCTTCTTCGTTTTTGCCTTTTTTAAACATGAATTCAATACAACTTTCGCTTTCACTTTTCATTGATGATCAGAGCTCAATCTTATAAATGCCGTGGAATGGATATGGCAGCACTGACTGAAATTCAGCTGCAGAAAACAGCTATCAAATACAAAATTGTTATCATGCATTTCAGTCCATTGTATGTTGACAAATCAAATAATCATTTCGTTGACTCGGATAACCGTTTGTCAGCACTGACATCACCGTAAATGTTACCAAATGCTGTGAATAGAATAGTACGACATTTTATAAGATTGGACCCAGATGTTGAGAAGTTAAGATGGTAGTCATAAATAAGGCAGGCATCACACTTGTTTTTGCAACCAAGGGGCAATAAGAGGCACTATACCTATCCGCCACCGTGAGATGAAGGTTCACCGTTCACGTTATAGGTTTGTAGGCTGTAGGTGGTAGATTTTGGGTTGTAGGTTAGGTCAGGTTAGATTAGGTTGGTTTTGTTTTGGTTAGAAAGAAGCATTTCTGGGTATAGCTCCTCTCCTTGTTTGCAAAAACAAGTGTGACACATGCTTCATCAATACTGTGATGCTTGTGACATTTGCTTTATAGGTAGGTACCTATATCAGGAGGGCAATTTTCCATGAGAATAACTTATTTTCTGTGGCCCAGAGGGCTGTTTAGGTCCCTGCAGCATAGACCTGTGTTGTGTGCGTCATACAGTCATCATATATGTCATACGTTAATGACTTAGTCTTGGCCAGTCTTGGCTATCTCCAAAACTGTTAGAGTGAGGTGGTGTTTGGAAAGTGTAAAAGAGATGAATCTGGAGCAATATTCAATATTAGGTTGCATAATGATTTATGAGCCAAGGTCTGGTTGAACATCAACAAAACATTGAACATGTTCTTATTAAGGGCTCTAGTGAACACAGAGTCAAAGACAAGGGTCAAAGATATAGGTAAAGAATGCTCTGATCGTGCATTCAAAAGAAGTGCTGTATTATGATGAAGGTTGAAGGTAGCTTCAAAACATCTGCACATTTAGCAATGCTGCCATTTTTCTGCTGTTATTTTGTGCTTGTCATTTTTCACATTATTTTCAGATGGATATGATTAGTCAGATCAGTGATTTTGTAAATCTTTTGAAGAATGACATTTTTTTGTAATTAATATGTACAGCACAAAATGTTAAGGTTAAAGTGAGAGGGAATTTACTTTTCTGCCACCATCCACCTTGACTAAGGCATGATGATTTAACTTCTCACAAAAATTAATTTATGCTCTTAACTGACATGATGCTCCTGCTAGGGTTCAATTTATTATATGTAATGAAGAAATTACATTTACATGTTTCAGAATGCCCAACGAGTGCACCGCCAGCATGTGAAAAGTCACTGCCAGCCTCTACCCCTTCAAGTTTACTCTGTGCTCCCGATCATCCATCATGCGGCTGGCAGTGTTCGTCTGTCTCTTCATGAACATCCTTTTCGCCACCATCGTGTTCTACACGTACATGGTGTGGTCGCGCTACTGGCAGTCGGTGGCTCGCGCGCGGCCGCCCAACTACATCTCAGCAGAGTACATCGCCGAGCTGCGGCGGCGCCGCGAGCAGCAGGCGGCAGCGCGCCGGCCCCCGCGCACAGCCGCGCCCTACGTCTTTCACCCGGCCGAGCGGATCGAACACCACCGCGCGGCGACCGTGGCGCAGCTGCGCCGGGTCCAGCTCGACTGGAAGATGCAGCGGGCCGCCAACAAGTACGGCGTCAAATTCTCGGGCCGCCGTGACCAGGCGGCTGGCTCGCGCAGCGCCGAGGAACTCCTGTGCGCACTGCGTCGGGCGAGCGTGCGCACCCTGACGGCCGCCGACGAGCCGTTTGCCACCATCGGGCTGGGAAAATACTTCCCGTCGCTGGCGCCGTTCGAGGGCAGGACGTTCAACTCGTGCGCTGTGGTGGCCAGCGCCGGCTCACTGCTCAACTCGGCGCTGGGAGCCGAGATAGGTGGGTCAGGGACTTCAGGTGACTGGCTCGTTTTGAGCGGTTTCTCGGATAGAGGGAACGCTTTGTGTTTGGTCGTGACTGCTGGAGTGATACCTACTGGCTTTATTGCCATTATGGTACCTGGAAAGTAGACTTTTATTTCCAGATACCGTAAACGTGTATTTTACATTTTCTCGTGTTATTTCATCGATATGCATTTCGTGTCCTACTCCTGTAAGCTCTGTTACATTTGCTTCCTTTTGACGCTAGTTAAACCCTCTCATACTGTGTTCAACCATTGCCTCTTCACTCCCACAGACTCTCACGACGCAGTGGTGCGGTTCAACAACGCGCCCACCCAAAACTACGAGCTGGACGTGGGCTCCAAGACCACGCTGCGACTGCTCAACTCGCGGGTGCTGTCGGAGCCGCAGTTCGACTTCCTCGGGTCGGCCATGTACCGGGACATCTCTCTGGTGGCCTGGGACCCGAGCCGGTACGACGGAGACCTAAAGCAGGTGAACAGACAACGGCCGGGGTATGAAGATGGTATGATTGTGTGCGCTGTGGGTCTTTTAGGTTACGAGAGCTTTGTGGCGGAATTGAGGTGGTGCGTTAGATTTAGTAAAAGTAAAAGCTGGGTTTAGTCCTCCATTTGTATTTCTCATAAATTATTTTATTGTCGAATCATCAAGTTTGATGAGAAATGGGCACATCGATAGTCGATAACCTTGTTTCCATTCTTGGAAACAAGGTCTGTACTACATATTGTCTTAGTGTCAAAGTGAATCGCACTTTTTCAGTTGAGAGTCGTCACTTAATGTATAGCTTGTTCGAAGAAGGGCTCTTGAATAAATTTAACGTTTTGTTCTGGAAGACGTGGTATGTGAGATTATAATGTCTGGGCATAATCATGGCGTTGTTGTAGTCAGATCGCTGACATCGCCTGAATATACTTACCGCCATGTTTTCCTCCGTCCTGCAGTGGTACAACAGTCCCGACTTTCCGGTGTTCACGGCCTACTTTGAGCGGCGTCTAATGCTGCCCGACGAGGATTTCCACCTGCTGGACCCGAGCTCTCTGTGGAGTGTCTGGAACTTTCTACAGACGCACACCTACACCAGCGTGCTGCCCAACCCGCCCTCGTCCGGATTTATGGGTGAGGAACGACCTGACCTTACATGGCTTCATGGGTGAGGAGTGAGGACACACCCAACCTTATTCGGCCCTATGGGTGAGGACCGACCCGAGCTAACCTGACCTTATGGGTGAGGAATGGGGACCGACCCGGGCTAACCCGACCTTATGGATGATGGTCAATCCTTCTTCTCGGTTTCATGGGTGATGAGGACCGACCCGACCCAATCAGCCTCATGGGTGATGACGAACCATTCCTCTAGGTTTCATCCTCACGCTTACCTAAGGGTGGCGGACTCCTCAATGTATGTATGTACTGTGGGTGGCGGTAAGGTGTCGTTTTTAAGATGTGCTGAATTAACTTGAGCATTTATTTATTAAACGCGTTATCTGTCTGTGCGCAGTTTTGACGTGTGTTCGGCGGAATGTCGTGTTTGAGAGCCTCCAGTACGCCAAATCGCATGTACCAGTAACCACTGCCGATTACCATGGGTAATTTTTTCTCCCGTTACCCCGCTGATCTGTCATCACTGAACTGAACCTACGTAACCTCGGTAACCTGAGCTCACTGACCTGACCTGACAACCTCGGTAACTTGCCGTCACTCAGCTTGCATCGCTGACCGTACTTGATCTGGGTTGATTGACTATATTATACCACCCTAGTAACCCGACAAGTGATTGATGACCCAATATACACACTGGCCTGAGTTTGCTGACCTTGACCACTGACCTGACCTTACCTTCTCTCTCCCTATCCGCCAGGCATAGCGCTGATGCTGGAACGCTGCGACTGGGTCGACGTGTACGAGTTCGTGCCCTCCCTCCGGATGACCAAACGCTGCCACTACTACGATACAGAGGAGAACGAGTTCTGTACGCTGGGCGCCTGGCACCCGCTGGCCACAGAGAAGCTGCTGGCGCTGAAGATGAACCACGCCTCCGATCGGGAGGTGTTCGAGCGGGGCGTGCTGAGGCTGAAGGGATACAGCCAGCTCGACTGTGGGTGAGGACAGGGAAAGTGCAGGGGGAGGTGGCTGATGGCCGATGGGCCATACAGTGACGCAGCTGGCGTGTTTTGGGCTTCTGGTTGCCGGACTGATTTCTAGTCGCTGAAAGGTGAAGTGAGTCATTTGACGTTTGCGGACGAAATGAGCAACAGTGTGCGCTGGAACCTGTTACATGGGGGACGGTTAGGAGAAATCCCAAGCTGATGTCGAGAGATTCACGATGCCGGATGCTCACATAAGGCTGCGAACAGCGGAAGTGGTGATGATGTCCCGCAAAAGTGCAGCGATGGGCTTTAGTCCAGAACTGGGTAGTGATTATCTTATCAGACGCCTGGGAAAACTGCATAATTTTACTGGTTGCGTTTCTTCACTCAGGAAATCTAAGTCCCACATAACAGCGCTAGACTGCTTCGACCTAATTCGCGAAAGTGAACGTTAATTGTGATTCTCGCAGCTCCTTTACCGATGCGTTGGTCCGATGGTCTCAGCGCTGTGGTAGAATCAGCGCAGTAGCTAGCTTCCCGTCGCATTGACGTGTGCTGCGTCCAGGCTCCTTTACGACAGCTCCAATACCGTAATATCAGGGTAACCGAGGTACTCACTCGAACAATTCGTAGACTGTAGTGTAGTGGTAGCAATCGTGATTATTGAATCGAATCTAGTCGCTCTACCAAGTCAATCGTGCCGCCCATGTGTGTGTCTTGTGATTAATTTTTTATTTGATTCTTATTTGTTGGTAATAGGCATTGTTTGATGTGCTGCTTTCACAGACTTGTAACTAGTCTATTCTGTGCTTCAGGTGACTCTTGTTGACCCTTTACGGTCTATTTGCTTGTTACGTTTCCTACTTTTCCTATTTGCTACGTATGCGATCTTTGTTTGTTGGTAGTCATTTTTTCTGAAGACGATGGGTACAAGACCCTTACCATCATTATTGACGCTATGTCGGTATCGCTTTGCCTGCGTTCTGTCCTTTAGGTACGGGAGCTTCCAATCTTATCCCAGCGTAACGTATCCGCTCGGCGAGCTGTAAACTGTTTCATTAACTTGTAGCCGCGTTGTCATAGCGTGTTGTCATTGAGCTTCCTGAAATGACGAGCTTTCGAACACCTCTTCAGACACTGCGGTGGTGACAATAACGGTTATTTGTGTGTTTTAACCCTCAGGTAGCGTGCTCCTTTAGTGATACGGTCTGTGGTCCGAAATAAGAATCAATGTCAATGTAATCACTCGCAGATGGTATGCTGCATATGATTGGTTGTGCGTACCAAGGCAGCTGCTTTCTGATCCAATTGGTTTTCGATGCCATTTTAATGTGAGGGCATTCAGTCTTGGTTTTCGTCGCCTTGATTTGAGATGTAACGGACACGAGGTTTCGTGTATCTTCCACCGAGTCATTCTTTTTTAACGTTTGGAGTCATTCTTTTTTAACGCTTGCTCGCTAAAAATAAAGCTTTATACTAATGTGCTTGCTTAACTTTTATCAAGAACTTCTTTTTTGTGCGTGGGTGTTGAACGATTTATAATCAGCACCAATCAAGAGATACACTATTACTATCACTTAACACGATTGCATGAACACTACCGTGATCACAACTGTAACACGAATTGTACCTCAACAGTCAACATACACGGCAACGCTGACCAATCACATCACAAACACGAAAACGGCGAACAGCGCCAAACATGATAACTTTCCACGAAAATACGAACTGCCGTCAGGGCTAATTCAGAAGAAGTTGAAAACGCCTCCACCGCCACCAGAGGTTTCTTTCTCGGCGTCTGAGGAGCCTCCTCCAAAGAAGCTGAAGCTGAAGTCGTCAGCTCCCTGATCGCCGTCCCCGCCGACATCACCAGCTCCAAATAGCGACATACCTGACGGCGGCGGCGGCTGCGGGGAGGCCGCCTTGCCTCCCGGCGGGCCGCCGAACAGCGAGAAACTCGAGTCCATCTCCCCGACGTCCGTCTCGGGGCTGGTGAAGAAGGCGGCCATGGATCTGGGCGCGTCGCCAGCCGCGGCGGCCGCCGGACGAACGGGCGTGGTGGGCTCGGCGGCGGGTGCCGCAGCGCGCGGGGTGGACGGAGCGGTCTGCTGCGGGACTGCGCGGCTCGGGCTGCCTGCCGGCGGCCGCTGCGGCGACGCCGGCTCGACGGCCGGTCGACGAGGCGTGTCGAAGATGGATTGTGGGGAGGCAGCGGCGCGGGGGGTAGCCCGGTGCGGCGAGGGCAGCGCCGGCCGCAGGAACTGGTGCTCCAGACCGGGCTCCAGCGGCGCCGCCGGCTTCCGGGCGGCCGGCGGCGGCCGACGGGACAGCTCGGGACTCTGGCGTAGACGCTGCACGAAGCTGCGCCGCTCGTCCACCGGCGGCGCGGTCGGCGTGTCTGGCGGCATTGGCAGCCAGTACTGACGGCCGCCCAGCATATTCTGCGACCCCGGCGGTGTCGGCGCCGGCGGCACTTCCTTCTCAACAGCGGCGGCAGAGGGCGACACGGGCTGTTGCTCCGCTGTATTCGGCGGTTGCTGGGGCTGCTCTTGCTGCTCTGTTGTTGTGTGTGGCGGTTGCTTGGGTTGTTGTTGCCCCATTGCAATGCGCGGCATTTGCTGGAGTTGGTGCTGCCCCATTGCAGGGCGCGGCGGCTTCTGTTGTCCGGCTATGTGCGGCTGTTGCCGCTGCTCCCCCGGTATCATGCTCGACTGCTGCTGCTGTCGCTGTTCCATCGCCACCGTTTTGCGAGGGGACGGAGACTCGCTAGGAGAGCTGTCTCGTGATACCGCTCTCTCGCTGTTCCCACCGCGGTTACTACCCGCGAGGTCGGGCCGCGGCCGACCAGCCGGTGGGGGGCGGACGGGAGCAGGCCGTGCCTCCTGTACGTCCGTCATCTCCACATCCTCAGCCGTAGCCGCTGTCGCAGGCGACGGTTGTCGCTGTGGTGCCTGTAACGGCGAAGGGGCCTGGGGCGGTCTGTGCACCGTCGAGGTGTTGATCGAAGACCGAGCCGGCGATGTATTACTGGCCGTGCGGCCGCCAGTCGAGGTGTCTGTCTGCCTATCGGCGCGGGGCCTGCTCGGTCTGTACAGACTCGGCAGCTGGATCAGGAACGAGCTCTGCCGGCGGACGGGGGGCACCGGCTCCGTGCTCCACTGGGGTTTCTCCGGGGACGGCCGTGTATGTGGGGCCGGCGAGGTGACAGCGGGAGGCGGCGGCCGCTGGACTGGCTCTGTGGGTCGCGACCTGCCCTGTGGGAGGACCTGCGTCTGCCGCTCAGCTGCCTGACGCTGGGGTGACGCCCCGGCTCGGGGCGGACTTGGCACGCCCGGCTGGGTTGGCGTAGGCGGGCGCACCGCTCCCTGTGGCAGAGATACAGGTTCCTGCGGCGGCGAAGGCCCCTTCTGTGGCGTTCCTTGTTCACTCCCTGCCTCCCAGCAACTAGCAGCGGCCTCTGAGGGCTCTCCCTCGGTCTGGTATCGGTCCCCGCCCTCCGCCAGAATGGAGGCGGCGTCGGCAGTCCGATCGTCTTCGCTCGCGTCGCTTCGCTCGGCCGTCTCCTCCGCGCCACCCGACTCGTTGCCAGTCTCCATATCGTACACGGGGCTGGGCGTGCGGCTGCAGCGCGGTGTGCCGAAGCCCTGTGAGCAGGCGCCGCTCATGTTCTCCCTCTCGGGGCTCTGGTCGCCGCCGCCGCCGGCGCCGGCGATGGCCCCCTCCAGCAGCCGCGCCTGTCTCCAGCACTCGGCCAGACGGACACAGAAGTCGCGGTCGGACACTCGCGAGTTCAGCGCCGCCTCCAACTGCTCCCTCCTCTCGTGGAGCTCGCGCTCCTCGGCGGCCAGCGAGTCCATCTCCAGCTTCCGCTGGTAGGCCGGCATGGTTAGGTAGACGGTTTCGTACCGCTCCCAGCGCGCTGCCGCCTCCTTCACCTCGTCGTCCAGCTTTTGAAGCATCTCCTCCGTTTTGCGCTTCTCAAAGTCCAGCTGTTTGTTGAGCAGGTCGCGCATCTGAGTCAGCATCTGCAGCGATCGTCTGGCGCCGTGATGTGTGTCCTCCAGTGCCGGCACGCGACGCTCGAGGGCGGCCAGCTCCGCGGCCCGCGACTCTGCCTCGCGCGCCAGTTGCTGCGTTTCTCGCTGCTTCTCGGCCAGCAGCTCCTCCAGGCAGCGCACGGCATTCTCCTCTTCAGTGACACGGCGCCGCTCCCGGTCCCGCCGCAGAGACAGCTGATCGAACGAGTCGAGCGCCTGTGTGAGCGGGGCGTCGTCCCCGCCCATCGCGCCAGACATATTGACGATTCACTTGCGGATCAGACGCGGCCTGTGGAGACGAGAACGTTATTTACCTATCCAGTGTTGTTTGCTAATAGTACGAACAGACTTTTCGCACTATCCATGGCGGCTGGCGCTTCTGATTCCTTAGCATTAGCGAAACAGAACAATGGGATATAAGAGAACGGTCAATGGCCCACGCTCCAATTATACCAATACGGCGGTCGAAATGGCGAAATGGCGTCGAAATGTGAAAAAACACGGCGTTTCTCATAAATCTTGGAAATGACCTTGACATTGAGAATCAAAACAAATCAAAATTGTTTACCGGAAGCAGAAATCAAGAATTAAAAATGTACGTGTTCAAGGCGGAATGTCAAGAAACATATGATTAAATGGTGATTAAATGATGTCTTATCAGATGTTTTTTCACAAAAGCTATGAATTTGAGTTTACGTGACCCTCAGTATTGATTCAAACATGCGGACACGATGTGGAATATGCCCTTGCCATGAGAGTTTTGTAGGTTTTGTTTTGTAGCATGTGGAAGGTTTCAGATTTGGCGCAATTGAGACAGTGGTTGGTTTTAAAGGTTCCCGCTAGCTACAATAATTTAACGTTTGTATAATTGCATGCAGATTGATATCAATCTCGTACATGCAGATTCCGGACCCTTTCAAATCGCCTCAAAATCGGCATGTAGACCAAACAGGACACGCTGATCACGAATCCGAAGTCCGTTCCGCGGCACATATGTAACTTTTCCCGTAATTGACGAATTACGGATCTGCATGCAGATTCCGGACCCTTTCAAATCGCCTCAAAATCGGCATGTAGACCAAACAGGGCACGCTGATCACGAATCCGAAGTCCGTTCCGCGGCACATATAAAAACTTTTCCCGTAATTGACGAATTACGGATCTGCATGCAGATTCCGGACCCTTTCAAATCGCCTCAAAATCGGCATGTAGACCAAACAGGACACGCTGATCACGAACCTGAAGTCCGTTCCGCGGCACATATGAAACCTTTCCCGTAATTGACAAATTACGGATCTGCATGCAGATTCCGGACCCTTTCAAAACGCCTCAAAATCGGCATGTAGACCAAACAGGACACGCTGATCACGAACCTGAAGTCCGTTCCGCGGCACATATGAAACCTTTCCCGTAATTGACAAATTACGGATCTGCATGCAGATTCCGGACCCTTTCAAAACGCCTCAAAATCGGCATGTAGACCAAACAGGACACGCTGATCACGAATCCGAAGTCCGTTCCGTGGCACATATGAAACTTTTCCCGTAATTGACGAATTACGGATCTGCATGCAGATTCCGGACCCTTTCAAATCGCCTCAAAATCGGCATGTAGACCAAACAGGACACGCTGATCACGAATCTGAAGTCCGTTCCGCGGCACATATAAAACCTTTCCCGTAATTGACAAATTACGGATCTGCATGCAGATTCCGGACCCTTTCAAAACGCCTCAAAATCGGCATGTAGACCAAACAGGACACGCTGATCACGAATCCGAAGTCCGTTCCGCGGCACATATGAAACTTTTCCCGTAATTGACGAATTACGGATCTGCATGCAGATTCCGGACCCTTTCAAATCGCCTCAAAATCGGCATGTAGACCAAACAGGACACGCTGATCACGAATCCGAAGTCCGTTCCGCGGCACATATGAAACTTTTCCCGTAATTGACGAATTACGGATCTGCATGCAGATTCCGGACCCTTTCAAATCGCCTCAAAATCGGCATGTAGACCAAACAGGACACGCTGATCACGAACCTGAAGTCCGTTCCGCGGCACATATGAAACCTTTCCCGTAATTGACAAATTACGGATCTGCATGCAGATTCCGGACCCTTTCAAAACGCCTCAAAATCGGCATGTAGACCAAACAGGACACGCTGATCACGAATCCGAAGTCTGTTCCGTGGCACATATGAAACTTTTCCCGTAATTGACGAATTACGGATCTGCATGCAGATTCCGGACCCTTTCAAATCGCCTCAAAATCGGCATGTAGACCAAACAGGACACGCTGATCACGAATCTGAAGTCCGTTCCGCGGCACATATAAAACCTTTCCCGTAATTGACAAATTACGGATCTGCATGCAGATTCCGGACCCTTTCAAAACGCCTCAAAATCGGCATGTAGACCAAACAGGACACGCTGATCACGAATCCGAAGTCCGTTCCGCGGCACATATGAAACTTTTCCCGTAATTGACGAATTACGGATCTGCATGCCGATTCCGGGCCCTTTCAAATCGCCTCAAAATCGGCATGTAGACCAAACAGGACACGCTGATCACGAATCCGAAGTCCGTTCCGCGGCACATATGAAACTTTTCCCGTAATTGGCGAATTACGGATCTGCATGCAGATTCCGGACCCTTTCAAATCGCCTCAAAATCGGCATGTAGACCAAACAGGACACGCTGATCACGAACCTGAAGTCCGTTCCGCGGCACATATGAAACCTTTACCGTAATTGACAAATTACGGATCTGCATGCAGATTCCGGACCCTTTCAAAACGCCTCAAAATCGGCATGTAGACCAAACAGGACACGCTGATCACGAATCCGAAGTCCGTTCCGTGGCACATATGAAACTTTTCCCGTAATTGACGAATTACGGATCTGCATGCAGATTCCGGACCCTTTCAAATCGCCTCAAAATCGGCATGTAGACCAAACAGGACACGCTGATCACGAATCTGAAGTCCGTTCCGCGGCACATATAAAACCTTTCCCGTAATTGACAAATTACGGATCTGCATGCAGATTCCGGACCCTTTCAAAACGCCTCAAAATCGGCATGTAGACCAAACAGGACACGCTGATCACGAATCCGAAGTCCGTTCCGCGGCACATATGAAACTTTTCCCGTAATTGACGAATTACGGATCTGCATGCAGATTCCGGACCCTTTCAAATCGCCTCAAAATCGGCATGTAGACCAAACAGGACACGCTGATCACGAATCCGAAGTCCGTTCCGCGGCACATATGTAACTTTTCCCGTAATTGACGAATTACGGATCTGCATGCAGATTCCGGACCCTTTCAAATCGCCTCAAAATCGGCATGTAGACCAAACAGGGCACGCTGATCACGAATCCGAAGTCCGTTCCGCGGCACATATGAAACTTTTCCCGTAATTGACGAATTACGGATCTGCATGCAGATTCCGGACCCTTTCAAATCGCCTCAAAATCGGCATGTAGACCAAACAGGACACGCTGATCACGAACCTGAAGTCCGTTCCGCGGCACATATGAAACCTTTCCCGTAATTGACAAATTACGGATCTGCATGCAGATTCCGGACCCTTTCAAAACGCCTCAAAATCGGCATGTAGACCAAACAGGACACGCTGATCACGAATCCGAAGTCCGTTCCGTGGCACATATGAAACTTTTCCCGTAATTGACGAATTACGGATCTGCATGCAGATTCCGGACCCTTTCAAATCGCCTCAAAATCGGCATGTAGACCAAACAGGACACGCTGATCACGAATCTGAAGTCCGTTCCGCGGCACATATAAAACCTTTCCCGTAATTGACAAATTACGGATCTGCATGCAGATTCCGGACCCTTTCAAAACGCCTCAAAATCGGCATGTAGACCAAACAGGACACGCTGATCACGAATCCGAAGTCCGTTCCGCGGCACATATGAAACTTTTCCCGTAATTGACGAATTACGGATCTGCATGCAGATTCCGGACCCTTTCAAATCGCCTCAAAATCGGCATGTAGACCAAACAGGACACGCTGATCACGAATCCGAAGTCCGTTCCGCGGCACATATGAAACTTTTCCCGTAATTGACGAATTACGGATCTGCATGCAGATTCCGGACCCTTTCAAATCGCCTCAAAATCGGCATGTAGACCAAACAGGACACGCTGATCACGAACCTGAAGTCCGTTCCGCGGCACATATGAAACCTTTCCCGTAATTGACAAATTACGGATCTGCATGCAGATTCCGGACCCTTTCAAAACGCCTCAAAATCGGCATGTAGACCAAACAGGACACGCTGATCACGAATCCGAAGTCTGTTCCGTGGCACATATGAAACTTTTCCCGTAATTGACGAATTACGGATCTGCATGCAGATTCCGGACCCTTTCAAATCGCCTCAAAATCGGCATGTAGACCAAACAGGACACGCTGATCACGAATCTGAAGTCCGTTCCGCGGCACATATAAAACCTTTCCCGTAATTGACAAATTACGGATCTGCATGCAGATTCCGGACCCTTTCAAAACGCCTCAAAATCGGCATGTAGACCAAACAGGACACGCTGATCACGAATCCGAAGTCCGTTCCGCGGCACATATGAAACTTTTCCCGTAATTGACGAATTACGGATCTGCATGCCGATTCCGGGCCCTTTCAAATCGCCTCAAAATCGGCATGTAGACCAAACAGGACACGCTGATCACGAATCCGAAGTCCGTTCCGCGGCACATATGAAACTTTTCCCGTAATTGGCGAATTACGGATCTGCATGCAGATTCCGGACCCTTTCAAATCGCCTCAAAATCGGCATGTAGACCAAACAGGACACGCTGATCACGAACCTGAAGTCCGTTCCGCGGCACATATGAAACCTTTACCGTAATTGACAAATTACGGATCTGCATGCAGATTCCGGACCCTTTCAAAACGCCTCAAAATCGGCATGTAGACCAAACAGGACACGCTGATCACGAATCCGAAGTCCGTTCCGTGGCACATATGAAACTTTTCCCGTAATTGACGAATTACGGATCTGCATGCAGATTCCGGACCCTTTCAAATCGCCTCAAAATCGGCATGTAGACCAAACAGGACACGCTGATCACGAATCTGAAGTCCGTTCCGCGGCACATATAAAACCTTTCCCGTAATTGACAAATTACGGATCTGCATGCAGATTCCGGACCCTTTCAAAACGCCTCAAAATCGGCATGTAGACCAAACAGGACACGCTGATCACGAATCCGAAGTCCGTTCCGCGGCACATATGAAACTTTTCCCGTAATTGACGAATTACGGATCTGCATGCAGATTCCGGACCCTTTCAAATCGCCTCAAAATCGGCATGTAGACCAAACAGGACACGCTGATCACGAATCCGAAGTCCGTTCCGCGGCACATATGAAACCTTTCCCGTAATTGGCGAATTACGGATCTGCATGCAGATTCCGGACCCTTTCAAATCGCCTCAAAATCGGCATGTAGACCAAACAGGACACGCTGATCACGAATCTGAAGTCCGTTCCGCGGCACATATAAAACCTTTCCCGTATTTGACAAATTACGGATCTGCATGCAGATTCCGGACCCTTTCAAAACGCCTCAAAATCGGCATGTAGACCAAACAGGACACGCTGATCACGAATCCGAAGTCCGTTCCGCGGCACATATGAAACTTTTCCCGTAATTGACGAATTACGGATCTGCATGCAGATTCCGGACCCTTTCAAATCGCCTCAAAATCGGCATGTAGACCAAACAGGACACGCTGATCACGAATCCGAAGTCCGTTCCGCGGCACATATGAAACTTTTCCCGTAATTGGCGAATTACGGATCTGCATGCAGATTCCGGACCCTTTCAAATCGCCTCAAAATCGGCATGTAGACCAAACAGGACACGCTGATCACGAATCTGAAGTCCGTTCCGCGGCACATATAAAACCTTTCCCGTATTTGACAAATTACGGATCTGCATGCAGATTCCGGACCCTTTCAAAACGCCTCAAAATCGGCATGTAGACCAAACAGGACACGCTGATCACGAATCCGAAGTCCGTTCCGCGGCACATATGAAACTTTTCCCGTAATTGACGAATTACGGATCTGCATGCAGATTCCGGACCCTTTCAAATCGCCTCAAAATCGGCATGTAGACCAAACAGGACACGCTGATCACGAATCCGAAGTCCGTTCCGCGGCACATATGAAACTTTTCCCGTAATTGACGAATTACGGATCTGCATGCAGATTCCGGACCCTTTCAAATCGCCTCAAAATCAGCATGTAGACCAAACCGGACACGCTGATCACGAATCTGAAGTCCGTTCCGCGGCACATATGAAACTTTTCCCGTAATTGACAAATTACGGATCTGCATGCAGATTCCGGACCCTTTCAAATCGCCTCGAAATCAGCATGTAGACCAAACAGGACAAGTTGATCACGAATCTGAAGTCCGTTCCGCGGCACATCTGAAACTTTTCCCGTATTTGACAAATTACGGATCTGCATGCAGATTCCGGACTCTTTCAAAACGCCTCAAAATCGGCATGTAGACCAAACAGGACACGCTGATCACGAATCCGAAGTCCGTTCCGCGGCACATATGAAACTTTTCCCGTAATTGACGAATTACGGATCTGCATGCAGATTCCGGACCCTTTCAAATCGCCTCAAAATCAGCATGTAGACCAAACAGGACACGCTGATCACGAATCTGAAGTCCGTTCCGCGGCACATATGAAACTTTTCCCGTAATTGACGAATTACGGATCTGCATGCAGATTCCGGACCCTTTCAAATCGCCTCAAAATCGGCATGTAGACCAAACAGGACACGCTGATCACGAATCCGAAGTCCGTTCCGCGGCACATATGAAACTTTTCCCGTAATTGACGAATTACGGATCTGCATGCAGATTCCGGACCCTTTCAAATTGCCTCAAAATTGGCATGTAGACCAAACAGGACACGCTGATCACGAATCTGAAGTCCGTTCCGCGGCACATATGAAACTTTTCCCGTAATTGACAAATTACGGATCTGCATGCAGATTCCGGACCCTTTCAAATCGCCTCAAAATCGGCATGTAGACCAAACAGGACACGCTGATCACGAATCTGAAATCCGTTCCGCGGCACATATGAAAGTTTTCCCGTAATTGACAAATTACGGATCTGCATGCAGATTCCGGACCCTGTCAAAGCGCCTCAAAATCGGCATGTAGACCAAACAGGACACGCTGATCACAAATCCGAAGTCCGTTCCGCGCACATATGAAACTTTTCCCGTAATTGACGAATTACGGATCTGCATGCAGATTCCGGACCCTTTCAAAACGCCTCAAAATCGGCATGTAGACCAAACAGGGCACGCTGATCACGACTCCGAAGTCCGTCCGTTTCCGATTTTGAGGCGATTTGAAAGGGTCCGGTATCTGCATGCAGATCCGTAATTCGTCAATTACGGGAAAAGTTTCATATGTGCCGCGGAACGGACTTCAGATTCGTGATCAGCGTGTCCTGTTTGGTCTACATGCCGATTTTGAGGCGTTTTGAAAGGGTCCGGAATCTGCATGCAGATCCGTAATTTGTCAATTACGGGAAAAGTTTCAGATGTGCCGCGGAACGGACTTCAGATTCGTGATCAGCGTGTCCTGTTTGGTCTACATGCCGATTTTGAGGCGATTTGAAAGGGTCCGGAATCTGCATGCAGATCCGTAATTTGTCAATTACAGGAAAAGTTTCAGATGTGCCGCGGAACGGACTTCGGATTCGTGATCACCGTGTCCTGTTTGGTCTACATGCCGATTTTGAGGCGATTTGAAAGGGTCCGGAATCTGCATGCAGATCCGTAATTCGTCAATTACGGGAAAAGTTTCATATGTGCCTCGGAACGGACTTCGGATTTGTCATCAGCGTGTCCTGTTTGGTCTACATGCCGATTTTGAGGCGATTTGAAAGGGTCCGGAATCTGCATGCCGATCCGTAATTCGTCAATTACGGGAAAAGTTTCATATGTGCCGCGGAACGGACTTCGGACTCGTGATCAGCGTGTCCTGTTTGGTCTACATGCCGATTTTGAGGCGTTTTGAAAGGGTCCGGAATCTGCATGCAGATCCGTAATTTGTCAATTACGGGAAAAGTTTCAGATGTGCCGCGGAACGGACTTCAGATTCGTGATCAGCGTGTCCTGTTTGGTCTACATGCCGATTTTGAGGCGATTTGAAAGGGTCCGGAATCGGCATGCAGATCCGTAATTCGTCAATTACGGAAAAGTTTCATATGTGCCGCGGAACGGACTTCAGATTCGTGATCAGCGTGTCCTGTTTGGTCTACATGCCGATTTTGAGGCGTTTTGAAAGAGTCCGGAATCTGCATGCAGATCCGTAATTTGTCAATTACGGGAAAAGTTTCAGATGTGCCGCGGAACGGACTTCAGATTCGTGATCAGCGTGTCCTGTTTGGTCTACATGCCGATTTTGAGGCGATTTGAAAGGGTCCGGAATCTGCATGCAGATCCGTAATTCGTCAATTACGGGAAAAGTTTCATATGTGCCGCGGAACGGACTTCAGATTCGTGATCAGCGTGTCCTGTTTGGTCTACATGCCAATTTTGAGGCGATTTGAAAGGGTCCGGAATCTGCATGTACGAGATTGATATCAATCTGCATGCAATTATACGAACGTAATAATTTATCTGGCGGGAGGAATATTTTTCAATTTCTTTGCAATATTTTTTGCAGCAATTCTCATGGTTTTTCTTTATGTTATTTCAAATAATATCTTGGTATGTTAGATAAATGAATTATGAATTTAAATAAAAACATTAACTAAATCAAGAACAGAATTTGGCTAGCTTCAAATTTTAGCCACCAGGTACGTTTAGGCTTTGATTATATTTCATTACTTTTACACATAACGTATCGTATGCTAGCGATTTAGGTGCGCGCGCGAGTGGTGTTTTAGATTAGGTGAATTATTTGGTGATTATATCAATATATGTCGTTAATCCATTCAATGTTGATTTCATTTGACCTCTTCTCCCTCGTTTCGCTGTGTGCTTGATTTCATTTTTCTCCACCAATTCCTCGCGTTGACGTTTGAGAATTGAGAGCCACCGGCCACGTGTGATCACACCCGCACTGCAACTGTGTTAGGTGTTTGTTTCGGTAGTGTGCATGCCGTGTGAGCCCAATTCACCATACCTAGATTCCAATGGTTTCCGCATGCAGTAGGATGAGCTATGAACGATAAACAATAAACAAAAGTTATCTCTATTAAAGGGGCTATCCCACCTTCTAAAATGTTGTTAAAACCAGTTATATTGTGCCCGACTTTATAGATTGGATGACCAGGAACACGGTTCTGGCATTTATTTTTCATTAAACATCTTAGGCTTCCCATATTCCAAACACACTTTCAAATATGTGACGTCACAGCCCAAAATTACCTCCTTCCCCAGGCCACATTACTGTCATAAAGCTGATTCTTTTTACTCTGTAGGCGCCACAACAAAGTTCAGACCAAGTTTTAAGCGATTTTTCAACGAACAAACCCATTTAAATCAGAATGACTAAACGAGGTGACGTCACACTAACGGTCGCTCCATGTTGAAGATAGGGCCTTGTACAAGGCCCATTTTCAAATGAAGAGAACAAATTCCTTCAACACCAAGAGGCCGCGGGGGTTGCAACCTAGATAGATAGTGGTTTCTGAACCTCGCCGCAAACTTGGCTATCTCAACTCAAACCCCATGTTAAAGGTGGGATAGTCCCTTTAAGTAAATCGGTTATCGTTATCGTTTATCGGTAAATTTTCAAAATTATCGCTCATCCACTTATCGCAAGTTACAAAAATTGTGAACGATAAACGATAAAATGTATAGCGGGATGATGGAAAAATGGAAGATGACCGACAGTGTATGCCGCGCGACAGCATGTGCGCAACCTGTTGCCATCTGCTAATTGTACAGATCTGTCAGACGGCCGGCGGGTGGTATAAGTTTGCGGGGCGGACCGGGCAGAGCCCAGAGCCCCAGAGGTCAGTCAGGGGGCCCACTCCCGCACACATGGGGAGTGAACAAGTAGTTAAATGAACTTGCTCCAGAAAGTCAAACTCAGCATAAAAGACTACACCAACTTGGCTCAGGTTTCTGTCTTTAGCTACTCCCGAAATAAGAAAGTGCTCATTGGAGGGCAGCCCCAACATGGAGGAGCTCATCAGGAAGGAGCTGCAGACCTGGGCCAGGAGCAAGGTAGCTGAGGTGAAGCCAGAGCACTTCCCCAGCCTGCACAGGGACAAGTACAACACCCCCTCACCCGTGCCCAGCTCTACCACTGTGGAGCGCAGGTTCAGCACAGCTGGGGAATCGGGGATATCCTGAGGCCCAAGCGCGCCAGCATGACCAGCGACAAGTTTCAGCAGCTGGTCTTCACCAAGGGCAACATGGCCCTCCTGGAGGCTATCTTGAAGAGGGAGAAGAGGGAGGCTAACACTGAGTCTGACACAGAGCATATGAGACAGATGCTGAGCTTGACTAAAATGTGTTTTTTTTTTGTCCTTTTTCTTTACTTGTATGATCCAGTATTGAGTATATACAGCAAATTAACTTAAAATACACTTATATAAGCTGCATTTCTTATCGCATTTGTTATCGCTTAAAAACCATTATCGTTTTATCGTTTATTGTTTGTTATCGCTGTTAAAAAACAATTGTCACTGTGATTTTTTCGTTTTATCGCTATCGCTGATAATTTTTTGTTTTTTTTTATCGTTTATCGTTTATCGTTAGGTATCGCAAACCTTTCTTATCGTTTTATCGTTATCGCAGGTCTGAAAATTAGTTATCGCGGAAAGCACTGCTAGATTCTACCTATAGGCAGTTTGTCTTTTGATTGGCAAAGCCCTGAACTATCACCAGACACGAGGGGGATTGAGGGAATTATTGCAATAATCATGTCTATAATTTCACAGATTCTGACGGTGCTTCTTCTCTGGGTCTACCACCTGCACCTGTGTCTCTTCAGTACTGTCAATACTTAGGAGTCTGTGTGCAGTGGTGCTGGCCTGCTGCCCATCAAAGCAGTACAGAGGGCCAGTGAGCACCTGAACTAACAGCCAGCGGGCAGCACTCCACGTCTGCAGCCGCCGCAGGCATCCCACCATGTCGCTACTGCTGTGGCTGCTGCTGTGCGGACTGGTGGTGCTGGTGACCTGGCTGGTGACTGCTGCCCGAGCTGGACAGCGTGCCAGATTGGCGGGTCGCCGTGGTGCCGCACCACCAGTTTCCTGGTCCTCAGCAGTGCGGGACGCAGCACGAGGCGTGGAGGCGAGACTGGCGGCACTGACAGGCCGGAGGGAGGGTGCTGCGCTGACACCGGCAGCAGCCAGGGGCAGGAGCCGTGGCGGCAGACTGGCAGCGGCTGCATCCAGGTTAGCGGGAGCGGCCAGTCCACTCACCACTGATGGGGTACTGGATACGTCCAATGGACCCATCAAGCCGCTGTCGGGCTCGCTGCTGAGTGACAGCCTCAACAGGAGCTCGGGTACCGCTACGTGGCGGGTACAGCCGCAGCCCAGGAATCCCATCTACCGTCTGAACAGCATGAGGAACATGCAGACTCTGGAGAGATATATGGACACTCCTACCAAGAAACGTGCTGATCACAGGTCAGTGTGTGATATATTGTTTCGATTTTATAACAGTCTGTTATATAATATATTTGTGCATTTGGCTGTTATGGGACTCGGTGCGTCTGTGGCAATGCAATGTTTATTTATAAACAATACCATTTCAATGATGTGATGTATTTTTTTTCACCCGTACATCACTTTATTCTCCCATTTTTTTCTTATGGAGTGTAGTTCACTTTTGCCAGAATTACTCAGGTACTAGTTCTGTGTAATGATGCTTCCATGCCGTAATTCTTACTTTACCGACTAGACCTGCTTGACCCCGTTCCCCCTCTTCCCCCTCAGCGAGGCGCCGATGCAGACCGCCCTACCGTCGCCCGGGCTCCGTCTTCGTCCACGCTCGACCGGCGTCACTGCCGCAGATCGAAGCGGCACCTCCCGACTGCCGATAGTGAACCTGTCCGGGTCGCCGCGCCGGCAGCTGCGGCCGGCCACGGCCAGGTCGCCTGTGGAGGTGACCATTAGAGTGGCGCCGCCAGAGCCGCCGCCGCAGCCGCGCGCCAACGAGTCGGGATCGACGGGAGAGAGGTGAGCGGGGGCGGGGGGGGGGGGAGAGGGGGAGAGAGGTGAGAGTGAGTGAGGGAGAGGTCAGATCGTCAGAAGCGGGGCCATGATAAACGCTTTGTATATGCTTTGCAATAATATGTTTTATGTATGTCCGTAAGAGATATGTGGGATTTGTTTGCCCAGGAAAATGCTACAGTGGCAAAATCCAATTTCAGATTAAGATGGATTCGGATGTTAAGAACCCATTTAAATGTTCTGGCTTGATGCGTTTGGTTGTCCATGTGGTTCGTCATTCAACCTCCATGACGGTGTTTTCCACTGAGTCCACTGCCCGCATGGTTCGTCATTTAACCCCGATGCCTGCATTTTATCAGTCCCAGGCGGGCGACCTCTGGCGGCTCGCTGTCCAGCGCCCATCTCAGCGGCGCCCAGGCGGTGGTGGCTGGTCTGGCGGAGACGGCGGCGCTCAGGAAACGGGCCAGGAACGAGGTAGGTAGCAGCGAGGAGCTTTGTGGGCGATGGGACTGAACTGAACAGCTGTGGGGTCAGAGGGCTGTGCTGAGCGATGGCGTGTAAAGCGTGGTTGGTAGAACAGTTAAATGATGAGAGGAACGAGACGAGCCGAACACGTTTGTGAGGATTCCAGGACAAAAAGTCAAAAGACAAAATGTCAAAAGACAAAAAGTCAAATGCAAAAAGTCAAAATGGATAAAAGTCAAATGGAAAAAAGTCAAATGGATAAAAGTCAAAACGGATAAAAGTCAAAAGACAAAAAGTCAAATGGCAAAAAGTCAAAACGTCCAAAAGTCAAAAATGCAAAAAGTCAAATGGCAAAAAGTCAAAATGGCGAAAAGTCAAAAACGCAAAAAGTCAAAAGCAAAAAGTCAAATGGCGAAAAGTCAAAATGGCGAAAAGCCAAAAACGCAAAAAGTCAAAAGCAAAAAGTCAAATGGCAAAAAGTCAAAATGGCGAAAAGTCAAAAACGAAAAAAGTCAAAAGCAAAAAAGTCGAATGGCAAAAAGTCAAAATGGCGAAAAGTCAAAAACGCAAAAAGTCAAAAGCAAAAAGTCAAATGGCAAAAAGTCAAAAAACGCGAAAAGTCAAAAAGTCAAATGGCAAAAAGTCAAAACGTCCAAAAGTCAAAAATGCAAAAAGTCAAAAAGACAAAAAGTGAAAAACGGCAAAAAAGTCAAAATGATAAAAATCAAATGGAAAAAGTCAAATAATCGGTCCAGCCGTTGTGCGGTTATTGAGGATAATAGTTTTCGGGTGTGTGCAAAGTACCCCAAGTTTAGCACGCGCCACGTGCCAAGATCGACACTCAGACAACATGGTGTCCATGCCATACAACTTTTACATCCAAGTGGTATTCAGCAAAGAAGACCGCTTGTCGATGCGGCATGCGGTTCTTGAGTTATAAGGGTTTGAAGAGCGTGATGGGGTCGGGTCGGGTCGGGTCGTGTCGGGCCGGGTCGCGCATACTCAGATTTTTGCCTTAACCCTATTCCTGGCGGGGGGGGGGGGGGGGCCTCAGGAGCCCCCCCCCTGAGGTTTTTTGGTTATTTCTCCCAAACGCATTGAGCTAGGAAGCTCAAATTTTCTGACTTTTCCTAAAAGGCTTCTACGCAACATGTCTGAAAATTTTGAGTTGATCTGACCTCAGGTCAAGTCACCAGAGGCGGTTTGGTGACCCTACCTCAGAAAAGTTTGCAATCACGCCAGAGCTAGAGTTTTTGACCGATCAATTTCTTCTCTTCAGGGTTTAGTTAGGGTACCAGTATGTGCAATTTGTATATCTCGGAATTTTGATATCGGTGACCTAAGGTCAGGTCAATTTCGCGACCTCCCCATTATAAGTCAATGGGGGAAAAATCAACTCCCTGTTTTTACCACTAAAACGGGTCGGAATGGCCCCATATACCATACATGACTTCATATACGATCAACCTTCACTACCTTGAGGTCTGTTTTGCTGTTGGGCAGTTGTGAGGTCATGTGACGTCATCAAAGGTCACCAAAGGTTTTTGGCCAATAACTACGTACAGGAACAAGATACAGACGCGTGGATGGTCTCATTGTGTTCAGCTCGTCAAGACGCATCGAATGATATACATGATGACCTCGAGGTCACGTGACCTGAGGTCAACCTTTGACCTTGACCTTTCGAGGTCAACATATATATCATTCGATGCGGATTGACGAGAGGATCACGATGATGCCCTTAGTTTGTTCCTATCTTGACTAATTCGAAAGTTATTCGAGAAAAACTCTCCATATCTAGCGCCGCCATTTTGACTTTTTCGACCCCTGTGACGTCATCTTTGACCTGACCTGAAAATGACCTTAGTAAAAATTGTAGATCTTGGCCGTGCGTATCCGATGCCGTTTACCGCTTGTCGCTATCTTGCTTCGTTCTCGAGATCTCAGGGGGGGGGGGGCCGAATCGGCCCCCCCCCCGCCAGTTTCTTGTCCCGGCGGAGCCCGCCAGGAATAGGGTTAAACACGAAAGAACTCGCTCGCTCGCTCGTAATTAACCCTATGGCGTTGCATGGAAAGAAATGAGTTCAAACTGCCTCGAGCCCCTCCAACATTGAGAAAGTTCCAGCGCCAGTGCTCCCACATGTAATAATAACCTGTGAATCATTTTCATTTTATTGCTTAATGGATTCGTTTATTAAAATGTGTTCATTTCTTTTAACCAAATTTCTATAAACCCAGCGCGTTGGATGCTGGACCAGTCAGCGATGACCGTACAGAGACCAGAGAGCGTGAGTGGACGGAGGGGACCGCGTCCAGTCTATCGGGCACGTTTAAACTTTCAGATAAAACTTTGCCATAGATAGCACTGGAATTGCACGATGGGGCAGTGGTGACCCGGGAACTTTTGAAAAGTTGATGGGATAGGTTGAAAGTTGAGGGGACAAAAATTGCAACTCAAAATTTTGAAATTATCTCGTCTTTTGTATTTTTTACTTTAAGTCCATTGACGTCATTTAAGCGTTAATCACATGGTATTTTTTATTTTGAGGTTTTGGCTTTTCACCAGGGCCTCCTCTCAGGGGCGACACTTTCCGAAAATTATTGGTAGGGCTCTAATGTAAATTTTTGCCAATTCAAAGCGATTCTTTCCACGCAACGCCATAGGCATAATGTTAAATTTCCAAAATTATTGGTAGGGCTCGGGCCCTACCATGCCTATACAAAACGACACCCATGCCTCCTCTAACATGTTAACTGCGGGAGCTGCAGTCCCCGCAGTCATCCTCCAAACTGGTCACTGAGGGGTACCTTAGTCATTTTTTAGTCTTAGACGTTTTTGGTAGGGGTTACCTTAGTCATTGCCCGTGATCGGGCCCCCCAGTCAAAACTGCTTAAAGGGAGATAATGAGCTTTCTTTTTTTCTTAAATAAAAATTACTCGACATCTATACTATTTCTACTGTAGTTTCTATAAAATATGAAAATTTCCTAGCACATTTTCGTATGTGAAAAAGGTTTTTATTTTTGCAAAAAAGAAGCAGTACTTGCAGTACTTGTAACACCCACCGAAATGCGTTGTCCTTCTCTATAAAAAAGTCGCAATATATGGCGCTTTTGTTTCAAACAGCGACGCTTGGGTTTTTGTTTATGTTATCGCCTTGTCGTTGCTGGGTTGTAAGGATTCTAATTTGAATTAGAGTTAATTCGGTTTAGAATTAATTAGATTCTAATTCGGGGGTACATAGTGTCTACTCTTCTTTGTTTCCAAGTATTATTTTGCGCCACAAATGAACGGCATGCGTCAGAAACGCAGCCAAATCTTGCGATTGCGACTACGAAATTCATTATTTTGGCGTCAGAGCCTGAAGCGAAAAATACAAGCATATTTATTTCAAAAAGACTTCAGGTTTGTCGAACGGTGTTATGAGAATTTTGATAACAGTACTGCATAAGTTTTTCAGTGATGCCGCAAAAGTGTTATATCTATCTTCTTTTATTGTGCAGTCGTCGGGACCGATTCAAAATTGAGTCGTTGCTACCAAAATAGCAGCATATGGCGTCAGATGATGAACAGGAAAAATAGTTGCGTAAACTTAGACATAAACCACCCCCAAACCATGAATATCTTTTGAAGGCACTATAGACGACCATTAACTAACTAGATGTGATGAAGATCAAATGTAAGGAATACGCTCATTTTACAAAATTACATGCAAGTACCAAAAAGTGATGTAAGTACTTATTCAACGGTCATTTTCAGCGCTCCCCGCTAACGTGACTTCAAGTTGAGATATTTGCGGCAAGGTACCGAATTGAGCAAAATGGTTTTAATTTACATTATAACTTGTGTTTTGTCAGAAAATGGTCCTAACTCAGATTTTGTGGAAAAAGGTCATTATCTCCCTTTAACCCTCGCCGGCCGAGGGGGGGGGGCGGGTGCCGCCCCCCCCATAGGGTTTTTTCGCGATAGCTCCGAACACGCTGGCGATAGAGAGCTGAAACTTGGCATACCTGACCTTTGATCCAAGCCGCATCTTTTGACACTAACCGCATTTTTGGGTCAGGTCAGGTCACTGACCTATGACGTCATAAGTGAACCTCTGCACGGTCTTCAGATGTCGCAACTTCGCAACGCCCTCACTGCCAGAGGAGATGTCACAGGGAAATGAAACTTGCAGGATCTGGTATCCATTATGAGTCCCACAACTTGTATATCTCGGATTTTTCCTAAAGGTCATATGAGGTCAGGTCATTTTCGTGACCTCGTATAAGTCAATGGGGAAAAATGAAAACTGCTATTCTGGCGCCGGGAACGATCTCCAACTATCTCAAGCACACAGAATCGTGATTTTATGCACTCCTTGCAAGGTTAGATGCGTCACTTTTGCAATGTTGACCTTGCGTGACGTCATTTATGACGTCATCAAGTTCATATTAGTTTTTCGTTAATAACTCTTGATCAAATTGAGCTAGCGAGTCGGGAAAGCCACCAATGGACTCAGGAAGACCTGCCGAATCGAATGATATGCGACATGACCTCTTTCGACCAACTTCGTGACCTGGGGGTGCTGACCTGACCTTGACCTGAGGTCAACACCCCAAGTTGACCTGACCCGGACAAAAAGTATACCATTCGACGCGCCTGAGCGAGACGAACACGATGCTGCCAAAATCGGCGCTCTGCGGCCGTTTTTTGCGAAGCTATTCACCAAAAACTGAACCGTACCTTGGGGCACTTGACCTGACCTCAGAGGTCACCGGTTGACCTAGGACCTTAAAATCGGGTACCAATCTCTGCGTCTCGTAACGGCGCACACGCTCGTTTTTTCCGCGACGCGCTAGCTCCACCAGGGGCGAAACGGCGAGGGGGGGGGTCGTACCCGCCCCCCCCCCCTCGGCCGGCGCGTATGTAGAAAACCAATAGGTCCGGCGAGGGTTAAAGGAGGCACTGCTTTTCACCCTCTCCCATGGGTGAGGGGCTGCCGCCGCCCGGTTCTCCGCGCACCACGG